AGTCACATTTGAAGTGCTCAATGGCTATACGTGGCTAGGGTCTATCTTACTGGACAGTACAAGTCTAAAGTGAGCTTCTCAAACTTTAATATTTCAATATGCATATTGGAACTTTGGGGATCATGCTAAAAATGCCAACTGTGATTCACTGGTTGGGATAGAGCCTGACACACGTTACTTCTTCCAGGAAGGCTCTCAAGTGGTATCAGTGCTACTGGTACATGGACCGTCATTTGAATGTCAAAGAGCGAGACGGTTGTGGCAAACCTGCCTAAATCAGCATCCTTCCACCCAAAGCTTCCCTCCTCTTTCAAATTCAGCAAATATCTGTTGAAGAGACTAACCTGATATTCTAATTGTTAGTCAGTGACATCATATTGAGACATGGAACAGTATTAATAACTTTAAAATAAGCAATATTTTATATACCACTGCAGAAACACTAACTCATTTACTCCTTAAAAAAATACTTGGGAATCTGCCAATGTTACCAGATGCTTTCATGAGAATGCACTTAAACACAGGATATAGGATAAGCACAACCTTATAATTCTAGCCTCATAGGTTTGGCATGTTAAACATTTAAGTAAAACAGACAATAGAATTACGAGGGAAATTTGACAATAATACTTCTCAAAGCTTTAGGATTAAGGGGCATTCTTTGGTGAAGGGTATGAATATTTCATGGACTTTCTAAAGAGAAACAAAAAAAGGGAACATTTTAATTTCCTCATGATCATCCTACCCGGGGAATGGATAGAGCTCTACAAGCAGATTTAGATTTTTTTTTCAAAAATATTTAAGTATAGAAATTTAAGCATCTAAATGTGGGTCAGAATATAACTCAAAGATTCTATATAGTGCAATCTTTCTCAAGATATAAAAGCTTTTAAGCCCAGAGTACTGTTCTGGTGGTGAGCAGAGAATTTTAATTCCTAAGAACTTGTTCATGCTTATCATTGTTTTGCTTGTGAGCTTTTAGCAAGTGCTTTACTCTACTGTCTCCTCTCCAATGATAAGGATAATGCTTGTCCGACCTATTTCCTGAAGTTGTTATAGAGAGGTGTAAAGGAGCTTGGTAAATTGGAGCATGCTATTATGAGTTATGCACAAGTATGCTGAGAGGAAGGTATTGAATCTTAAACATGGTCCAAATGGAGTCTGAACTGACAAGATGATCAAGTGCTCAGAGCCCTCTTTACTGCTGCATTTCTTAACAGTGGCTACTGTCTGTTGATATTTCTATTTTTCAAGAAAAATATAAGACAGGATTCTAATCACATAACTAATGTCACTTTCTACACAGAAGAAAACAGTATGTCAAAAGGTAAGTAAACAGAAAGAGACCTTATGAAATTTTTAAAGTTTCTGTTTTTAACTGAACCAAGTAGAAACTATGTATATCAAAGATGTTTTTCCCCTAGTAACAACTGCTTAAGTCATTTACTGGCAGAAATCTCTTGTGTGAAAAAATCTGAAGTTTATTTCTGTTAGTTGGCTTAAATTAAACTCACTTGGTAAAAATTATCTACAGGGATCATTGGAATAGAGCTAATTTTGTTTTAAAAAGTCAAATATTATCTGGCACTGAGGAGGAAAAAAACACAAAATAATAAAACTCTCTAGTGGAGAAAACCACAAAATATTAAAAGACATTGAAGGAGACAAAAATAAATATAAATAAATAAATGAAAGAATAGTATAAAGATGTCAATTAATTGTACATTGATCACAACTTGAGAGCAATTACAATTAAAATTATAACTTTTTGTATGTAAGCTTTATGAGTTGACTCTAAAATTTATATAAAGGAGGACAAGCATAGCATAGATACTCCTGAAGAAGAAACTCAAGTTGAATAAATTGCCTTTCTTTATATCAAAAATTTTATGAAAATATAACAAATGAGCAAGATTCTGTTATTTTTGGGAGGGATTATTAAAACAAAAGACTGAAGCCAGAAACAAACCAACACATATAGAACTTAATGACACAAATGGTGTTGCAGAGGTGCAAAAGCAGATAGCGAGCCTTTCAATAAGTGTTGCTAAGACACATTGTTAATGATATGGAAAAACAAACAAAAAAATGGACCTTTATATACCTAACCACCATATACAATATTAAATTCAGGTAGTTTAAAGATATAAAATAAAAATCAAGTGACCTCCAGAAAGGTTGGGATTTGTTGAACAAAAGACATAGAAAAAAAAATGCAAACTTCAGAAGAAAAGGTTAATAAAATGCATTAATCTATCAAAACTTCTGACTTCTGACCACCAAAACTCCATGTAAAGTAAAAGGAAAAGTATACATTGAAAGATGATATTTTGTAAGACATATGAGAGGCAAAAGGTTAATCAACATCCAAGATATAAAAATAGAAAGAATTCCTAGTCTACAAGAAAAGGCATAAAAATATAAACTAAAAGAAAAATGAGGAAAATTTTAATAGACACTACACAGACAGGAAATTTGAACAACCAATATAAGATGCCCAATGTGATTAGTAATCATGGAAATGAAAATTAAAACCACAATGAGAGATCATTTATAACTTACTACAGTAGAAAAAAGATTGGTAATAGCATATATTGGTAAGGATAAGGTTTAACCAGAGCATTTATGTAGACTTTGGTGGGTACAAATTGGTATAACACTTTGAAAACAATCTGGCATTATCTGTATAGTCTTGTGCTTTTGGCTTTGCACTTTTTTCATAAATTGAGGAAAAATAATGAAGTATTTATTTTGTCTTTCTACATGAGTTGAATTCTGTTTCAGGGTAAACAAATAAGTGATAAAGAAAAGTTATCCACTGTGGAAGTACAGCTAAAAATGCAGAAAGAATAATAGAATTAGAAAATCACCATTATGTAATCTTTAGTAAAAATATTTAGGTAGTCCCGATTATTTTGTGCTAAAATCATTGGGTGTAAGTTGATGGGAAAGCTTTATAATGGAATGATCAGACAGACACCGTCTAAACACACTGATGAAACTCACAGAGCTTCATATATTGAAAATTTTTTACCTACAAAAAAATGAACATTGAATTTCATCAAGCCAGTTAACAGGAAATAGGAGGACAGACATAGGGTATTACAAAAAACAGTATGGTAGAGGTCAGTTGTATTTGGAATATTAGACATTTCTTAAGACAATTGAACTGCTTTCTACAACAAATTTACAGCATAAAAGATAAGAAGAAGGGGGACTTTATAAACTAAAAGAGTTGCAAAAGATAGCATAAGAAAACAATGTTGTTTGGGTTTTGATTTTGTCAAACCAACTGTGAAAATATAACTTTAAGACAATCAATGAAAAAAAAAAGGACTAACTAGATATTCAAATATTAAGGACTTATTTTGTTAGGTGTAATAATGTCATCATGTTTCCTTTACAAATATTATTAGATAAAGATTTATACTTCAGCATTAAAAAGTTAATGGCATAGTTGTAGATGCTTTAATATTAACAAAGGTGTTAAGGTAATAGAATCTAGCATTTTTAGTAAATTTTTAGTTAAGGGTTGGTTATGAAGGGGGAGAGGTCTAGGTTAACAACTGGATTTTGTCTTGGGTTGCAGGGATGGTGCAGTTTGCCAAGGGAGCAGATACAAAAGGCACAGCAAGTTTCAGGGATTAAAATAAATTTAACTTTGAAAATAAGTTGTATTGATAGGTACTTATAAGATACTAAGAGATCCTCTGAAGTAAGCAGTAGGATAACTGAGTCTGGAATGAAAAAGAGACATCTGTGCTCAGGCTGTAGCATGAAAACTACTCTACTCCAGAGAAGTGATCAAACCATCCAAGAGAATGTGTATGGTTAGAAAAGAAGTCCAAGGATGAACTTCGGTGAATACCTGTGTGTATGAAATTAACAAGGGAGAGTTCAATGACAGATACTATATTTGGGGGAAGGTTAGTGAAATTAAGAGTTAAGAAAAAGCCCATAAAGGAGTGGCTGATGACCACTCCAGCTGAGTTCAGAGACCATAAATTATTAGTAGTACCAATCCACACCTGTGTGAAATTTCCTTGTTTCCTTCAGCAGTATTCAGAGGTCTGGCTACAGGTACAAGCAAGAGACATTTACTTTGGGGGTGGTTAGAGAGACAGATAGAATCAAAGCACAAAAAGACTTGGGCAGTGGAGATTACTGTAAGAGTATGATATGTTAAATCATATTCTTTGCGTCTAGGTCAGATAAGAGTAAAAAGTCTATGAAAGTGGTGATGGGTCAAGAAGTCTTTAGATAACAGTAGTAAGTGCAGATAGAAGATGGCAGATAGAGTATTGTTACAAGTGTCAACTATGAGCTGGATACGGTAGTGGAGAGTTCAAGCAGAATGCTGCTACTGCTTTTGTGTTCTATGGCCATTTGAGAGATAGAATAAGAAGTTAAGCTTGACAGCTATTCAAAATTAGGCAGAGGGATGGGATCTGTGAATGGATCAACAGTGTAGAGCAGTTCCTATGTGATGAGCTCACAGCTCCAGAGGAAAGCATAAAAGACCATAGTAAAAACAATAATGGGTAGAAGGAATCCCAGAATAAGCCTATGATGATAGTAAATGAGAGTGAGCCAGGAAGAAAGTTGTACTTTGGTTGGTGGCCAAAGAACAGTGGGAAGAGAATGTGTTAGATGGACTGTTCTTGTGGTTTCTAGACAAACCGAGTCTCAAGTGGTGCTAGAGCCTTATGAGGTCAGCAATTTTTAGGTTCTACTTATCATTTAAAAGGAATGTCACTGAGAATTTACTTACCTCATCTCTGAAGAGTTCTCTTTCTCAGGTTGTTAATGGGAAAAATGCACCTATGTCCACTCTCTATTTTAAAATTTATTTATTTTTATTCAAACCACTGTTACCATGTTCCTATTGTACACACATTAGCATTCTTGGCACAATGTTCAACATGAGATAGAAGTCCTCTATTTCTGCCTCTGAGGAGCTTGTTCTCCTATCAAAGGAGTGATAAATATGTACAATTTACCTCAGATCTGTGTATCTTGGAAGAAGTCTTTTTTTCCCATTAAAGTAGACTTCAAAATCTTCAGTCTTTAGCCTGTGGGCATAGTCAATGTATGCTGATACCTGCTGCCCATGAGAATTTCTATCACGAATGAAGATCACAGACTGGTAACACAGAAAAATATAGAGAATGGAGAGAGTAAATGAATAAAAGTCACTTGAGGAAATCATGTAAGTTAATGAAAGCTATATTTGTTGAGGGTTACATGAGCCAGGTGCTATCCTAAGTGCTTTATATTTCATCTTACAATGATCCTAAGACAGATAAAGAAAACTGAGCATGAAAAAAATGTGCATTTATAGTAATTTTATATAACAACATAAATGATAATTATTAGAGGTCTTCCTAAATACAAACATTATTTGAAGTGTTTGTAATACACAATTTATTTACTTTCCCCCCAATCCTGTTGTCTCCTCTCTGTCATCACTTTTAGATTAAAAAAAACAACAAAAACTGAGAATCAGGGAGATTGAGTACCTCACTAAAGGTTTCACAGTTAGTAAATGAAAAAACTCAGATTAAATCCCAGGTTCATGTGTTTATCCTTCCAATCCTCACATTCTTCTTTCACCTGAACTCTTATCTATTCTTGTTATAAAAATATTAATTGTGTCTCTTCTTCTCATTACCATATAAGAATAAAAAAAAATCTCATTACAAATTAAAATGACTTCACAAAATTAATTCCATAGTTCAAAATTATATAGTAAGAACATATTTATCATTCATATTAATTCCTTCATAGATATTATTGAGCATGTACTACATGCTATGCATTATTGTAGGTGCCAAAAATAGAGTGACAAACAAGACAGTAAAGATCCTGAGCTTTCAGAATTTACGTTCTACTGCTGAAAGACAGACAGCAGGCATGAAAAGAAAATAATACTTCCAGTGAGTAATAAATGCCATAAAGCAAATAAGAAAGAAGGTTGGATAGAGAATGAATTGTTGGCGGTGAAGGCTAATTTTGGTCGTCAGAGAAGACCTTAAGTAGGTCACACTTAAGCCAAGACTTGAAGGATGAGAGGAAGTAAGCCATGTAGAGATCTAGCATAGGAGCCTATCAGGCAAAGGGAACAGCTGGTACAAAGGCACTAAAGTGGAAACAAAGTAGAGCCAATGGGTGAATCATAGTCTTTTCCAGATCAAGCTAAGAAACATTGATCTCAAGTTCTAGGGGAAAAAAGAATTGGAAAAGCTCTTAATGCATTTATTTCCAAATCTAGATCAAAGTGTAGAATTTCTTGGCAAGGTCTCATTTGGATGAACCTGTAAACAAATCTTCCTTTATCTCTACAGCAATTGGGTCTTTGTGTAGTCAATTATAGGAAGCACTAATATGGGTTACTTTAGATAGCAGAGCTTCCAAATAGGTGAAGTTAGAAAACTTAACCAATTCTTTTCTCTACTGACCTAAGAAAACATATTACTAACAATATCCCAATTGAAAAACGGATGAACAGAAACAGATTTACAATTAGTTGCTATTTTGCTGATAAGCACCGTTTTTCTGCCTTTCTGCCTTCTCTGGTAGTATGGCATTAAGTACTGAGAATACTGTGCTGAGAAAGGGGAGGAAGTGTTGTGATGGATTTTAGTGACATGTCTGGAGGAACTATCATTCATTGTTATTGTCGTGCTAATCTTATATGGATTCATTCCTAGTCTTCCTCATTTCCCCCACATTGCTTCCAGTTAAGTTTGTATAGATTTCTGCATGCTTTTAGTCACTTGCTTTTTAGCTTTTATAGCACAAATCCTAAATGGATAGTAACTTAAAAAGACTTCTTGAGACTTACATTACTAAACCAATAGCCAGTATGGCTGTCCCTGCTTAAATAAGGCCATGAGCTATAACTATCAAAAATTCATATGCAGTCCTAAAAGTTCTTGAAATCTTTATTCCATCAAGTCTTCTCCTGATATTAGGCAAGTCATGCAAGGACAAAAAGAGGGGGCAAAAGGTCTAAAATAAGCCTCAGGTTTTACAATGGAACTCAATTAACAGAAAAAAAAAAAACTCAACAACCCTCCTCTGTCTTTGTCTCTGTCTCTGCCTATCTCTATCTCTCTATCTCTTTTTAGAGGAAAGATGAATCAGCCTTACTTTTCCAGCAGGTTGGCATACCAGATACGAAGACTGACCTTCCTGCTGAAAACAAATAAAAATTCTGGATATAATCTAAAATCAACTTGTAATATCCATTTATGCTCTGGCAAGAAAATGAGAAATATTCAGAGTCCAAAAACTAAGTGAAAGCAGGAACCCAGAGAGGAAAACAGAGCCCTAAGGTCATTTTGATCCTGCAGGCATTTTCCAAACCCCAGGGAATTTACAGAAGGATTTCATTACCTTGTGAGGTGGGGTTAGGGGGTGACAGGAAACAAAATCCAGCCTTTTAGGTAGAGAGACTAACAGGACTTATTTCCTCAACATAAAGCTGAGAAAAAGAAAAAGAAAAAATATCTGTGATGTGTCTAGAGAAAAGAAGAATCATTCCAGATATACATCCAGAGAAAGTATCTTTTTAATGAGCAAAATATATAAAATTTTAGACCAAAAATAGAAGGGACTTGGCTAACACCAGACTCTTGCTCAAAAAAATTCTTCAGGATATACTTCAGGCAAAAGAAAGTGACTTCAGCTGGAAAGTCAGAGATAAAGAATAGAATGATAAAGAAAGTACTAAATAAAATATTTGACTATATAAATATTCCTCTACAATAAAAAAGAACATGTCCAAAATTTTTTTAGTAAGTATATGTTTGGAAGCAGTGATAAGAATTAAAATGTTGGAATGTCTTTGGATTTTGTTTTTTTAGAATAAGGGCAACTATCAATATATTAAATAATTTTAGAATTTGATAAATATGCATGTATATATCTAGGATCACCATCAATAAATAGGAAACTATTCATATAACTTTTAAATTATTAGAGCAAAATAAAATGAAAAATAGTGACCATCCAGTGAAACAAAAGGTAGAAAGAAAGAGGAAAATATGGAAAAATAAGGACAAATAAAATATACTAATATAATGATAGTGCTATGGGTTGAATTATATCCCTTCAGGATGCGCATGTTGAAACCCAGGCACCCACTACATTAGACATAGGACCTTTAAAGGGGTAATTAAGTTTAAATGGGCCAATTAGGGTAGATCCTAATCCAATCAGACTTCATAAGAGAATCTGAACACAGAGAGGCATTTGGGGTCTGTGTGCATAGGAGAAGGATGATGTGAAGGCACAATGAAAAAGAGTCATCTGTAAGCCAACGAGAAAAAACCAGATCTGCTCACACCATGTTCTATCTTGGACTTCTAGCCTTGAGAACTGTGAGAAAGTAAATTTGTTATTTAAGCCACCCAGTGTGTGGTATTTTGTTATGGTATCTCTAGCAAACTAATACAGATAGTAATAAATTGAAATAGTTAAGTAATTACAGTCAATGTAAATGGCAAAATATTTGGGTTAAAAGACAAAGGTTATTAGAGTACACATAAAAATATGATATAAAATTTAAGATTGAATATTAAATGATCAAAAAATATAAATAAGAAATTTCCACCTAAAAAAGATCTGTGTCAGCATATTAATATTAGACTAAATGGAATTTGAGGTAAAAAGAGCATTTCTAGAGATAAAGAGTCACCAGATAATGACAAAATATTCAAGTCACAGAAAGATATAACAATTACAAACTGGGATAAACCAAATATAGCCTCAATATACTTAAATCAAAAATTGATAAAACTAAAAGGATAGACAACTCATCACCTCTTTGGTTAATTTACCTTTCTCATTAAGCCCTAATATCAAACAGAATAAATACATATAGAATTCTAAATACTATAGAATTAATATATATTGTAAAGAATAAAAAACACAAAGTCGAATGCTTATTTTTATCTTATTTGAATACCTAAATATCTTTACTTTTCAATGTCCTTGTGAGTAAAATGACTGATGGTCTAAAGTTATGTATATGTGGACATAATTTTACTATTTTACATTATTACATATAGCCCTTCTATGTGAGTTATAGCCTCTTGTCTATTTAAATCTGAGTAAATTTATTTCAGATTTCACTTTCCACCCTTGTAAGAGTTAAGTGTCTGCTCTGTGATTTTTGTGAATCCTGATATTTTCTGAAGCTAGAGAACTTCAGGTAAGGCCAAACTGACTGTAAGTATGGGCCCCCTAAGTTCACTCTATGTCCTTAGATGGGTTGCTGAAACTCTTAATGTTTCTTCATCTTCATAAGGCCTATATCTCTTAAGTAGTTCCTGCAAAGTCCAGCAAGTTTTTTTAAATATGTATATAAATAAAATTTTCAGGACAAGGAAATGAAATACTTTATAATTATATCAGAATGCTATTGCCTAGGTGTGTATAATTGTATTTATGTTGCAGTACATGGTTGAATTCCTTTGTTAAGTTTAATTATTCTCAGTTAAAATGCTGAATTTAACTGTATTTTGAAGTCAAAATTTAAACAATATTTTCACATATTATACAGGATAGACTTAATTGACAATAAAGTTAATATCCTGGCATCCAGAATGTGCAGAATAGGTTATGAGAACTCTTTGAAAAATTAGATTTATTTCAGCCTGAATGTGACATTTTTTAGTCATTGAAGGCTTTCTTATTTGGAACCGTCTTCTGTTTCAAAAGGAACTAGAAAATATTATAAATAATTTTTTTATGTTTCTATAATAACATTTCTTTTTCCTTTAAAAATGTAATAGCTTCATTGAGGTATAGTTCACATAAGAAAAAATTTATACCAAAGTTTTAAGTGTGATATTTAGTGAATTTGCAGAGCTGTGCAATATTTATATCACCCCAAAGAGATCCCATGTGCCCATTTCAGCCATCCTTGTTCCTATGCCCAGCTCCAAGCAACCGCTAATCTACTTTTTGTTTCTGTAGATTTACTTTCACTAGATTTTTCATATGAATGGAATCATACAATATAAGATCTTTTTCATTCTAATAACATTTTTATCACAGTTAATTTGCCAAAAGAAACATGAAAACCATAGTTTATTTAAGGGTTCCTTTAAATTACGATATGCTTCTAAAAGGAAA